CCCTCTTCTGTTCTCCCTCTATACCACTTTACTTGGTGATCTCATCACCTCCCATGGATTCAATTACCATCTATCTGTATGCTGATGACTGTCAAATCTACCTATCCTCCCCCCCCCCCAGCCCCAACCTCTCTGCTGACCTTCAACCTCTAATTTCCAACAGCCTTTCAGGCATTTAGAACTGGATGGCCAGTAGACATCTTAAACTCAGTATGTCCAAAAACAAATTCATCATCTTCTCCCCCCTCCCTCCCACCCACTTCCCTATTACTGTAGAGGGTCATAGCACCCTCCCAGTCCCTCAGCTTGAAACCTAGGTGTCATCTTTGACTACTCACTATCTCTCACCCCCACGTCCAATCTGCTGTCAAGGCCTGTAGATTTCACTTTGTAACACCTCTTCAATATGCCTCCTTCTCTCCTATGCCACTACCACCTCTCTGGATAGGGCCTCATCAACTTGAGCTTGCAAGCACCTGCTGGTGTTTCTGCTTGCCTTAAGTCTTTCTCCACTCCAATCATCCTCCATTCAGACATCAAAGTGATTTTCCTAAAGTACGCATCACCTTCCTACTCAAACTCCAGTGGCTCCCTACTGCCTCTAGAATCAAATACGAAATACTATTTGGCATTGACAGCCTTCATAACCTAGCCTCCTCCTACCTTTCCAGTCTTCTGACATCTTTCTCCCATACCACATACTCTTCACCTCATGACATTGAAATCCTTGCTTGTGCACGAACAAGACACTCCATCTCTTGGCTCCTGGCATTTTCTCTGGCAGTCCCCCAAGTCTGGAATCCTTTACTTCATCTCCATCTACTACTGGCTTTTCTGACTTCCTTTAAGTCCCAACTAAAATTCCATTTTTTACAACCCCTCTTAATTCTCTGCTTACATATAAACCCGTTTATTATTCCTATTTATTGTGAATATAGCTTGCTTTATGTGTACATATGTAGCCTTCTCCATTAGATTATAAACTCTTTGAGGTCAGGGGCTACCTTTTGCCTCCTTTTGTATCTGCAGCATTTAGCACAGTGAGTGAATACAGAGAAAGTCCTTAATAAATGTTTGATTACTTTTAATTGATTTCGATGATAGGTAACAGCAACTCTGAATCCCAATTAAGTTAAGTATTAACCTCCCCAAAAGAATTCCATTCTTCTCATTAGTAGATTCATATTATAAGAAAATTGTACTCAATTATTATTATTATACAATAATTATTATCAGGTATTTATTATTATTTTTATTATTATATTATTATATATACACTTTTAATTATATTATTATTATACTTTTAATTTCATCAATAAAAAATTGTGGGAATGTTTTCTCTTTTGTTATATAAGTACCTACATAATATCCTTGCTTTTGTCTTTTGGCTCACAAAGCCTAAAATATTTACTATCTAGTCTTTTATAGAAAAAGCTAGCTAACCATGATCTAGGTAATTTCTAACCTTTCCCTGGCCTTCCCTGGCCACCACTCCTCTAATTGTGTTATATCTCCTCCACTGAAATGGAAGCTCCTTAAGGATGAAAATGGCCATTGCTTTTGTATTTGTACCCCCAGCACTTAGCATAGTGCCTGGCAAAAGCATTCATCCATTCCTTCTAATTTTGTATTAATTCTTTATGTTTCTGTCAGATCCTATCAATAGATTCTGAAAGCCATGAAGGAGAAACTACTCATCTAATCTTTTCATCTCTCCCACAGACTAAGTATAATGATGTGTACACAATAAATTTTTGTGAAATCCAGTTGAGATATCCAGCAAGCAAATGGAAATGTAGGACTAAATCTCAGGGAGAGATATCAGCTAGATATAGATATGGGAATCATCCAGAGATGATCATTAAAGCCATAAAGGCGGATTCAAAAAGGAGAGAATATGTGTAATTAAGATGGTCTGCTACACGTACAGAGGAAGGACAACTTGGAATACCAATTACAGCAAGAAAGGACCTCAGTCAGACAAATGTAATCTAGTCCAATTTCCTCATTTTTCAGATGAGAAAATTGAAATCAAAGACATATAAGTGACAGGCAGGACATGAGCCAGGTCTTCTGAAGGTGGGGTGAAGGAAATAAGCATTTATAGAGCACCTACTATGTGCCAGGCTCTCATTGTATCCTCGGTACTACAGGGTAGGTGCTATTACTTACCCTCCCATTTTACAGTGAAGGAATATGAGGCAAACAGAGGTTAAGTGACTTCTCCAGGGTCATATGGATCACATAGCTAGTAATTGTCCAAGGCTAAATTTGAATGTCTTCCTGACTTCAGGCTCAGTATTCTATCCACTGTGCCACCTAGTTGCCAGCAAAGCTGACAACAAAACCAGTACTCTTTCCACTACACCAAGATGCCTTTTCTGTGACTAGAAAGGTAAGAGAGAGAACTAAAGAATACAGTGTCATAGACTCCAAAGGAAGAGAAAAGAGTACTTAGAAATACTGCACAAAGAAGATGGGGCAGCAAGCCCTTTGATTCATAGTTTAATCTATCTACTACTTTCTAATGGTTATAGTTTTACCTAGGCAAATAAAATAGTGTGTACATTGACTATATGATCTTGATGGGGTGCTCAGACCCCAGCCCTAAGATCACGTCTCTGGAAGCCTCCCAATTTCTCAGTAGGGCCCTGTCCTGCGAGAAAATTTTCTCTTGTTGCAGAACATTCTCTTGTTAGAACAGACAAAGCAGTGCCTGGCCCAAGGATTTTTGTCCCTGGCTGCCCCTTCCAGCCAGCTCCTCAAGTTCCATGCCTCTGACAACTCCCTCAATGTCTGGTATACTCCCTACACTTTCCCACCCATATCTCCCAAAGACACCTGGACCCTTAGATTTCCTAATTAATATCCCTGGCATTCCTTTCCTATGCCTCTTTCTCCACATAAACCCCAGTACCATCCTCAGTCTCTTGAAGGACCCCTGCCCACTTTTGCTAAGGAGTTAAAATAAACTTTTTGCCACTTGACTAAGAGAAGTCTTGAGTGTGTGAATTCATTCCAGTTAATTCTGCCTTGCCATTCTCGAGGTCCCAGCACACCAATAACCTCTTCAATCTTACTAGAGGATTTCTAAAATTGTCACCAGGAAATCTGAAAAATGAGCAGGGTTGGCATAATGGAAAGGACTTCAGATTTTAATGTTAGAAGACCTGGGTTTGAATTACCCCTCTTCCACTAAAGGTTTCCTCATCTATAAAAGAAAGGATCAGGATCGGTAACCACTAAGGTCCCTTCCTTAAACAATGATAATTTCATACTGCTGTATGAGACTTCGAGTTCCAATTCCTGGGAAAAGAATGTGAATTTTAATGTACAATACAAAATATTACTAACAAAATGTTGAATTCTGGAAAAATATATCTACAATAAAACAATTAACTAGCTAAGGCTAATTAAAATATTTCATTGGAGAGATCATCTAGCTGATCTATCCATTTCTCCATTTCAATACTTCAAATGAGACTGCTTTCACCTAAAGAAAGGCTCTCCAAAGAGATACTGAAAAAACAATAGTTTTTTTAAAATGAGTAGTCCACGGTTTTACCAAACAATTTAAGTCAACTGTAGGTAACAAAAACCCGATAGTGGTAAAGTTTCAAGCCAGTGATTACGTTCAAAATAAAATTTTCATGCCATGAGGAATATTCACAGCCATGACAAGCAACAATGGATTTCACATTTCAACAGGAAACGGAAAAGTGCCATCCCAATTCTGTTGCAAAACACACTTAACATTTAACCTTCCAGGTGGTGTGCAAAACACAAATCATAAAGTTCTGAAGTAGGGAAGTCTGACAAAATAAACTGAACCATTTTATTTTCAAAAGAGTTGGCACCAAAAAACACTGCTTCCACAGGAATAAAAACAAATGCTAGGTCTACTTCTGTTTCAAATACACACACATATGTGTATATATGTGTGTATATAATAACATGTAGATATTATACTTCCCTCCACAAAGAAAATCCTGTATAAAGTGCTTTAAAAATTCTAAAACCCCACATGGCATTTTATCCAAAAGAACTTTACTAATTGGAAATTAAGAAATAAAACAACTCAATCTTCTCTAATGCACTGGTACCTTTCTTTCCCTACAGAAACCAATCCTTTTGCAGGAATCTCCATTTGATTTTGTTTAGAAGAAATGGTTCCCCCTTAGATCATTCACAATCTACACTAACTCCTGCTAATTTTTACTCAGTACTTTTCTCTAAAAAAAACTAGTGGATCACAGGTGCCACCAGGACACAGAGGACCTTTTAAAAATGGCAAGCGTTAATTATCTGCAATTTTACCTTCTAGGACTTAAAATACAGGTGACCCAGACCGGAAACGATAAAATGACAAACAAAAGTGGGCCAGAGAAACAGAAAACCAGTGGAAATGCATCGAATACCACTGAAGGAAGGAAGGGGAAAAAAAAAAGATAGGAGCAAATTAGGAAGAGAAAGCAAAGAGGTGGCCGTGTCTGAAAGGTCCCTTCCCAGGCTAGATCATCCCCCCCCCACCCCTCAGTTTCTCTACCCCCGCCAAACACATCAATTACACACGACACCCATTTTGGGAACTAGCCCTAGAAGAGAGGGTGGTCACAGCAAACGCTTTCAAGAGGACAACACAAGTTCAGCTTTCTGGCTGTAAGAGTTCAATCCTGAACCCCTAAGAGACCAAGAGGTGCATTTCGATCATTTCTTTGTTTCATGGCTCCCTCGGGGCCTCTTTATCTCTTCCATCCCAAACCAACAAACAAGCCTTGAGGTCCGGTAGGGAGGGCCACCTCCCGATGATTTTCCCAATCACCACGTAAAGTATCCATAGCACCTACCCCCATTCGCAAAAGCCCTTTCGAGCCGCTTCGTTCCTACCCCGGGTCCCACTCCTTTGTCTCTCCGCCCCATTGTACCCAGGGTGAACACGGGCGGCGTAATTCCCGGACCTGCGGAATCCAGTGGGGATCCATCCCCTTTCCTCTACTCACCCGCGGGTCCAGCACAGGAGCGCAACGCCTAGGAGAAGCTTCATGGCGAGGAACTGCCCGGCTCTGCGCTCCAGCCGCAGACACACACACACGCAGACTGCCCTCACTCCGGTCCGCGCTCCCCGGCGGGTCCCGCTCCCAGCCTGGCTCCCCAACACCTCGCCGCGGCTGCCCTCTCCCTCTCCCAGCCCGCACCAGGGCGAGCAGGTGAAGCTGGCGTCACTTCCGCCCGAGCTGCGAGCCTGGGCTTTAAGCCCGCGCCTGTGCCCGAGGGTTCGAGGTCTGACCGGGCTCCCAAGCTTTCTTACCCTGTGCGGCGAGCCCCACGCCGGCGCTCCGGGACCACCCTCCCGGGCTTTGGGGACCCAGGTGGTAGAGAGCAGGGCCACACGTGCACGTCTGCAGCGCTAGGGAAAAAAGGCACCAACAGCCCGAGGGTGGCTTGGCCGGAAAAATTGGAATCTCCTCTACACAAGCCACCGCCCTGCTCCGTAGTCTTTTCTTTTAAATAGGTCAACCAACAATTACGATTTTTTCTTTTAGAAAAGGTATGGCACAGTCAAGACCCCCACCCCTTTTGGCTGAGAGAGCTACATTCCCTGAGCAAAGTCTGGAAGCTGTCCCCTGGAGATAGGATAAATTTTTCTGATTGCTCTTATTCGCAGACAGATTTTCACTTCATTTTACCTGACCCCCTGGCCTTAAAGAGAGCCTTAAGTAATGGACAAGTGTAATTAAAGGAGAGCATGGTTCTCGTTGTATCCCCTGGGAAGAAAGAAATCGCCTTAAATTTCAGCTAAAGAGTATGGAGTGAAAAGAGAAAGAGTTTTCTTAACCCTAAACAGAGTTGACAACCAAGACCTGGACTAAGTATGTTAAGCAAAACAGGTTGTATATATTATTTACATACGTATATTAAAAGGATGCAGTTGGAAAGGAGGATAGGCAGATTTCTCTTAAGGAAATAAAAGCAACATTCTATATATAGTATGCTATATATAGTAAGTACTATATAAACACTTTGAGTGGTTTAAAAGTGTTGGATAACTGTTTATGTTTAATTTCCAAAACCATTGGATTTGCCCCCATTTAATTTAGGGTAGGCTCTTCAACAGTTTCCCTTCAGTCTAACTCGTCAGAAGGCTACCTGTTTTCAGTTATAATGCAGTTAAAATAGTGTGCAATAAACTTCTTCGGGGCAGGGACTATAGGTGCAGTGGAAAGCATACTGGATTTGGAGTCAGGAAGACCTAGGTTCAAACGTTAGCTCGGCAATTTACTGTCTCCAAACCTAACCAAGTCCCAATTTCTCTGAAATTGTTAATTCCTTTGTAGAAAGTTGAGATTATACTTTTTATATATATATATACTAAAGTCCCTTCCAGCTCTGAATTTATGATCCATATTTGGCCCACAGGGTCCTTCTTACTGCAAGCCCCTAGTTAATCATCCCAAGTTCTAAATATTTGGGGTTGGGGAGGATGAGTTTTTTTTTTTAATACAAACTATGGCTGACAACCCTCTCCCCTTGCCAAAAAAAAGTTTTACTTTTTCCAGTCAGCCATAACAACACAGTGTGTAAGAGGCATTTTAATTAAAGTAATAATATAACATTCTCCCCAGAAAAATTGAGTTTCCATAAATACATACACACTCTGGGAAGAGTGGATGGACATTCATTGGAATGAGAAGTGGGGATGATGCATTCACATTGCAAATGTGTCCAAGAACAGGATGTACAAATCACCCCCACTCCTACCCACCCAACCCCCCATGGCTACCATTAGACACAAATAGGTGTATATTTGTGTGTATGTATATATAAAGATATCTTGTAAATTTCTTTTTTTCTTTTTCCCTTTTTTTCCTTCTCTCCCTCTTCCCTTCCCCCCAGGATGTACACATAGAGATGGGATGATATGTATTGGAGGGGCAACTCATACCTTTGATACTGCAAAGCTGCCAATGTGTTCTACAAAAGATATCACACTGCCATTGTCCAGACCAGCTTCTCTACAAGACTTTGTTCTCTGAAAAACATTTTTTTTTTGCATGCCAGATGGTCATCAGCTCTCTTTTCAGGGTCATTTGAAACAAGGTCCACTATGGAAAGTGGTTACAGCTTTTTCACCATCTAAAAAGCCAGCTGCTCCATTCACTGAGAGAGTGCTATGATTGATTGATGTGCCTCTCTTCAACAGCTTCCTCTTGCTTCAACTGTAGTTCTGAGATAAAATCTTCAGACCACCTGAAACTCTATACTACATCAGGTAGAAATGCTGTGATTACTAATCCTTTCCTATAAGTACTGTGATTACTAATCCTTTCCTATGAGAAAGCTCCTGAGCTAGTCAGTCACACAACAAATATTTATTAAGTTTTATTAAGCAAAGCACTTTGCTAAACATTGTGTATACAAAGAAAAGCAAAAATGCCTTCCCTGTCCTCAAGGAGCACACATTTGAATTGGAAAGAGAACATATAAGTAAGTATATATAAATATGTATGGAAAATAATTTCAAAAGGAAGTCATTTGGAATTGGGAAGGAAAGGGTGAGTGGGTAAGGGAGAGACCAAGAAAGACATACTATAGAAGATGGGATTTTTAAAAATTATTTCATTTTTAATTTGTGGAATAAAACAAGCATTTCCCTAACATAGTATAATAAAAAAAAAGATGATTGCACACAAAACTGCAAATCTATTATGTACAACTTGCTATTCCTCTTAAAAATTTAATAAAGTTATCATGTAAATTTCTTTTTTTTCTTTTTCCCTTTTTTTCTTCCCTCCCCTCACCCCGGCCCTAGAGATGGCTGCCAATAGGCACAAATAGGTATATATAATTATTTTATACATATTTATGTTTATCAGTTCTTGAAGATGGGATTTAAGTTGAATTGTGAAGGAAGCCAAGTAGTTGGGAGTTGGGAAAGCCTTCCAAGGAGAGAGAGACAGCCAGTGAAAAGGCACAGAAAAGAAATGGAGGGTTGTGTGAGAAACAGCAAGTAGGCCAATGTACTTGGTTTATCAAGTACCTAGAGGGAAGAAATGTGTAATGAGACTGAAAAGGTAGAAATGCACTAGGTTGTGAAGGGATTTAAAAGCCCAGTAGAGGATTTAATATTTGATCCTGGAGGTGATAGGGAGGCATTGTAGTTTATTGAATGGAGGTTATGTGGTTTGGGGTACTGGCTGTAAGAGTACTGGGCAGGTCTGCCTAGAAAGAATTCAAGCATTCAAGCCTACTTTCAGTCAAGGTACTGAAGTTTATTGTAATGCCAGTAGGTCAGGCTAGATTCCTAATGAATCTGGGGCTTGATGGGCAGGAGATTGACACTTGTATACAAAAAAAAGACAGCGAGAAGATCTGTATGGGATTAAGGAGTGGTGGCCCAGGTGTGCCAGTAGTCTAGGCATGATGTGATTAGGGTCTATACCACATATGTAAATAAAGAGAAGGGTATGTGTAGAAGAGATGTATTTTTTCCCTTTGTTTCTCCCCCCCATTAGACACAAATATGTGTATGTATATGTATACATATATGTATATGTATATATACATACATACATACATGCTTCACACACACACACACACGCACACGCACACACAGAGTTGACTAAGAACTGACTGAAGCTGTCCTGGTCTCCATTCCCAGGCCAATGAATTGCCTGAGGTTGACCAGACTGTGTCATTTCCAGCCTCTGGTTATGTGGTAGACCTCCCAAACTCTCCCTACCCCCCACCCCCTGCCAAGCTTTATGGACTTTTGCTTGTTATGTAAAACAACTTTCCTTGTAAAACTTTGAGATGCCTAACCCCTCCCACCTGCAGCCTTGTCATTCTCTCTGCCTTAGTACCCTATAAGCCCTGCTCCCAGCCCCCTCCTTGGGTACCCAAGCACTTGCTGTGTGCTGTCCCAAGTTGCAACGCACTTGCCTGAATTAAAGATCTCAAATTTGTTGTATTGACTGTTTTCATTAAAATTCAGGTTGAATGAATACACACACGTATGTATATATATGTATATGCATATATACACACAGGTACACATATACATACATGAATATACATACATATTTATATATGTATAATAATTTTATGCATCTATCTATTTTCTCTGGATGCAGATAGCACCTTCCTTCACAGGTCTTTTGTAGTTAATTTGGGTATTTATAATAGTCAAAATGACTTGGTTGCTCAAAGTTGTTCTTCAAACAATATTGCTGTTACTGTATACGACATTCTTGTTCTTTGGTTCTGTTCATTTCTGTCTTTGTTATTTCATGCAAGTCGTTGCATGTTTTTCTAAAATCTCTGAGCTCATCATTTCTAGCACAGTAGTATTCCATCAAAATGATATACCACAACCTGTTTAGCCATTCCCCAATTGATGGGCATGTCCACAATTTATAGTTCTTTGCCACCACAAAGAAAGCTGCTATAAATATTTTAGAACACATGGGTTCTTTTCCTTTAGAGCCTATATGTTGTTTTCCTTTTTCCCTGATCCTCTTTGGAAATAGACTTAGTAGTGGTATTTCTGGGTCAAATGGTATAGACAATTTAATAATTCTTTGGGCGTAATTCCAAATTACTCTCCAAAATGGTTGGATCAGTTCACTGTTCCACCAACAGTGAATCAGTGTCCCAATTTTTCCGTATCATCTCCAACATTTGTCACTTTTCACTTGTATCATTTTAGCCAATCTGATAGACATGGAATGATATCTCTAGTTTTTAATTTGCATTTCTCTAAACAACAATGATTTAGAATATTATTCATATGACTATAAATTGTTTTGATTTCTTCATTGGAAAACTGCTTGTTCATATCCTTTGTCCATTTATCAATTGGGGAATGACTTGTATTCTTATAAATCTGACTTAGTTCTTTCTATATTTGAGATATGAGATATCTGAGAAACTGTTTATAAAAATTCCCCTCCCCGCAGTTTTCTGCTTTCCTTCTGATCTTGGCTGCATTGGTTTTCTTGTACAACCCCTTTTTAATTTAATGTAATCAAAATTATCCATTTTACACCTCACTCTGCTGTCTAGCTCTTGTTTATTCATAAATTATTCTCCTATCCATAAGTCTGCTAAGTAATATGTTCCATGTTTTTCAAATTTTCTTGTAATCTCTCTCTCCTTATATCTAGGTCAT